CCCGGAGGCTATGTTAAGCAAAGCAAGTTGAGAGATCCGTGGAACAGGGCTGGACGCTTGCGCATGATCGCTTCGAAGCCGTGGGTACTCTGTTATAACTGCCATCCTCCTGCTTACTAAACGAGTATATGGGATATGGGGCAGGGATCTCTCAAGGAATCAGGAAAGCTTGGGATTTCTTCGGCTCGGTCCGGATCGGAAAAACCAACGCTTGAGCCAGGCGAAGACAGCGGGCACTGAGTACAACCAGTTTCCGACACAGAAAGCTGGAAACTTTGGGGTTTTCGCAGATGCTGGGTGTTGGGTTTAGGGGCTTCGGCGGGTTTGCGGCTGTGGCATCGGATCTCAGACACCAAGCTGGGACATGCCTAAGTTGACGTTGAACCCTGAAGCCCCATCAACCCCTGGAGCCTGCTTGCATTACAGATCACCCGCACTACACCTCTGGCGGTTTAGTGTCAGGTGGGCAAAGAGGCATGCATAACTAATAATAACAATAGTAATATTAATAATAATAACAACAATAATATTAAAAATAATAAGAACAAGAACAATAATAATAATAATAAATATGATATTATACTTGCATAACTAGAGATCTTGGATGTGCGTCTCCAGTCCTCCAGTGCCGACGGTCTCCAAGCCCGAAACACTCTCTCACCAAGCCCGAAAAGCTCTCAGGGTGGATTTTCGAGTTTTAAAGGTTTTCGGATACTACGCTCCGGCAATTTCCGGTACGAGTGCACGAAGAGCCGAAACTGCCATCTGTCTTGAGCCTCAGCAGGTGCGGCATGCGCCCAGGACTCGCGCCAAAGTCTCTCAAAGGCCTCCGACATGTCTTCTCCACTTCCTTGAAACCCCGGTTTATTTTGCATTGTATTTATCCATTCTGTCTGCAATGTGGCCAAGTAGGTGTTAAATTGTAGGGGTTACGGACTTTGGGGGCTTCATGTCTTCAGAGAATGGGGTCTCGACTACATTTGCGGCACACAGGCTTTTGGTTGTCGCACCGCGTTCGAGTTCACGGCGCAGCAGACAAAGACAGTCTAAAAGCAAGAACTTGTCAGGTGATCTTACCATCGTACGACCTTTCGGACTCCGGCCCATTCCAGAAAATCCAAGCAAAGGCTTCATGCGCCGACTTTGCTTGCACCTGGGTAACTCCGAGAAGCGCAGACCACAATTCCGCAGCTCTAGACAAAGACTGTGGTGAGCTAAACTCTAAAGCCGGAGTTCGATTTCCCCAGCCCCTGAACCCTAAATCCGGATTGTCTTCTCTCTCTCTCTCTCTCTCTGCTAATCTCCTAGGTGAACAGCTTGAAGCCTTCAACTTTCGGCGTTTGGGAGCCTATCTCGCACTTTTTACAGTGTAACTCGAGGATCTCTCAAACGGTTGTGCATGATTCGGAAACCCACAGCAGCCCCGGGGTCGAATTGCATGTGGGCGCCTCCCAGCCCTGAAAACCATCGTGGACTGCGAGCATCTCAACCTCTGAACCTCTAAACAACTCTAAAGAACCCGCCTGCAAGCCTATGAGCACTTCTTCTACCTCTGACTCTCAACGCCCCTGTAGTAAGTCAGTATATTGGCCTTCCTGAGCTCCGCAAGGGCGATGTAGCGCCGGCATTCGCGCAGGAGAAGCTGGCCAACACGCTTGGTGTTTAAGGTGTAGGGGGTTTGGGAGTTGGGGGGGTTTACAACTTCAAGGATTCAAGATTGTGAGGGCTTCATTAACTATGTAGGGCTCTGAACCCCGAAAATTTCAATAAAAATCCGCAGAGCGCCAAATTCAAAGCCAAGAGACTGAAACTCTCAGCCCACCGGCCAAGGACTCTACCCAAACTTGGCACAACTCGAAGCTCCAAATGGCACAAGTCATGATGGGAGTACTATACAGTTTCTTATACCCCCAAACCCTAAACCCTAAACCCCTGAACCCCAAACCCTAACCAAAGCCACCCATAAGCTTCTCCTTTGCTTTGCAAGTTTAGAATCGCTTGTAATTGTGCGCCGATGGTGGATGGCTCGACTGACTGGGTCGACGGTTCGCATAGGCTCGCCAAAGGCTTCGGCTGTAGATCATTACCTCAATCTGCCAAAACCTACTTAGTAGTGTCCCAATGAATTCTATCTTAGGTTTGTAGAGCCTACATAAAGAAGTAGGCTATGCTAGTTGAATATATATATATATATATGCTGTGCGGCCTGAGACTTGTGGAACTGCCCTCACATGAGCAGCTTCCTCGCTCCGTCTTGAGATGAAGTGCACAGGGCTATCTTCCCGGACCCAAATAGAGCACTATGGTAGTAACCCCCACGAGCCATCTTGTGCGGCAACTCGAACCTGCTGCTGGCTCAGCGCAGCCCCCGTTGCCGACATGAGACTTGGGCTCTGTGTGTACGGAGAGCGCTTCTAGGAATGGAGGCGCTCAAACGTCCCTGTTGCCTTCTTTCCACATATGTCCACCCCTAGGATGCAAAACTCACTGTGCATCCTCCTCTGTGCTGAGTTGCTAAAGCACGCCTCGGCCCCAAAGCCTCAACTAGGAGCAACAAAATCCACTAAAAAAATGAAGCCTTGCAAATCGAATCACTGTATATATGCCTCATGTCCTTGTAGCTATCTTTCTAGCTCTCGAGTCGCTCTAGTCCACAATCGCTACAATGGTCGGCTGTTTCATGGCATGCAAGAAAGCACCACGATCGCAATGCCACTGAGCCAGCACGGCAGACAGCTTTGGGTATAACCCCGAAGCCCTAAACGCGAGGGTTAAGCGACAGCTCAGGTTCAGGAGATTCATTTACACTCTGGCATGGCGCCTGGCCAAAAGCGATGGGCCATCATTGACGGCAAACGCAGCATGACAGCTGACAACTGTTTGACAATGAGTCCCATCCAAACCCCTCAGTCATAAACCTTCAAATCTAGACTCAACAGCTCTAGGGAAAACTTGAAGTAACCACCTGCCATTCAAGCAGCAGAGCTAGACCCGTCATACTTGGTGCGCCTTCCCTTGCAAATCATTTCCTGACTGCGAACCCGATCACTGCAACTGGCCGACAGCATGTACTTACTACAGAATTTAGACCCCAAAACTAGGTGCTAAGTGTATACTTGGAGTCTTACGGTAAAGTATGTGCATATGTGTATATATGTCTATATGCATACATGTATACATATATATATATATATGTGTGTGTGTGTGAGGATATACATATATATATATACATACATACATATATGCCACAGTTCACCCCCGCAACCCTGCTGCGACCTCCCAAAACCCAAGCAGAAGCTCGCAAGGCCGATCCGAGCTCAGATGTGGGCTGTCCGGGAACATCCACCTGCCGAAGCATGCCGCACTTCACATCCTGGGCAAAGGGAGGAGAGGGTTTAGGGTTTATGGGTGCGCAATGCTCCCCGGTTCATCCCACGGTGCCCAAGTACCCATCAAAGAAGGAATATACCTTATGGTCAGACTCAGGATCCCTCTACGTGGTCTACGGGGCATGCCTTAAGGGGCACTGTGCTCTTTGGGTTCATGGCCTGTCTTGAAGCTTTGGCCAACTATATAGAGGCTTGTGGCCTACCTGGCCCTTTCGGCATCGGGGTTCCAAGGTTTTCCACAGAGTAAGAATGTCTTCACTATGCATCCCCGTGACGAATCGTCTTTTCAATTCGTTCCGCACTCCTTCACAAGCAGCCCCTGAACTGTAAACTACAACAGGGCCAGTCAACCGACGACCTAGGCCATGCATTTATGAAAGCCTGTCACAATCACCCATATAAGTACTGTCGGGTACACATGGAACACATAAGCAAGCCCGAAACACTGAACATTCTCCCGTTGGCCAAGTGCACGAGTGTCTAGCGCTTCATTCACATGTCAGATTTGCGTGTGTGAGAGTTTGGGTGTTTAGGTTGAAAGGCCCTTCCCTGCATCCGCCAGTAGAAGTCTGAAGGAGCACAACTGCCTTTCCCAAATACCCCTTATCATGTGACTAGACTATACGCCAAAACGCTGGGCTAATTCTTAAGACCGCTATATCTGGAGTCTCAGCGTGGTTCGAGCTTCAGTTAAAGAAATTGTCCTAAGGAGGCTTTATACGAAGAATAGGGTGTTGAGGTACGTTGTAGTATATTATTATTCATATTAGGGACATAGGGACTACAAGGGGATATGCTTGCCAACTACTCAGACCTCCATATTTTAGGCGTTGGGCTTGGGTCCGGCAGAGAACCTTTTGTAACTCCCCCACGTGAGTCGCCATGACTCCAGCAAGGCCAAAGTGAAAAATTGCCTAAGGGGAAGCTTGCTGAAGGACTGAATCCTTCCGCCTGTGAACTGAAAGCTTGCTGTTGCTTGCCTCCATTGCACAACACAGAGGTTCATCGTAGAATGCTGTAGTACGAAGAGCTTGTTCGAAAAGTGATTCAAATTTGTTCATGATGGGGATGCGTACCTGTCGTTGAAGCCAAGTTCAGACATGCTGCTCCGGCCAAGGTCTTGCGCTATGTGCTACTGCTAGGTATTATATTGTACTTTAGAACATTTTATATCGCACAATTACACATTGTATTATGTTGTCGTATAGTGAAGTATAAATATATCCCGCTCATGTCTCCATGAAGCAGGCATCCGGCAGCTTCAGCATCTTCCCCGCAGGCCAATCACAGCTTGCAAAGGGAAAAGAGCCTGGTAGGCGGGAAAAACTCCATGGTGAGACGTGAGCTTAATTTTTATTATGATTATTGTTTTTATTGTCATTATCATTATTCTTCTCCCTGTTATTATTGTGGCTTGCGGCGTTTACGGCTTCGAGTTCGGGCCCCGGGTCGCAATAGTTCGCGTTTTTACAGGGTTGGTTAGGGCCTATAAAGCTTAGGGCCGTTTAGGCTTCGAAAAGGTTTATATAGGGTTGCACGAGTAACATCAGGAAACCAGCAAAAAATCGACATGCAGGGGTCGACCTTGCGAGTCTCAAGCTTAGGGCGACGTCACAGACCTTCGGTCGACATCTTGCGCAAGAGATGCAGGTGGCCATGGACCGGCTTGCCGCCATTCCTGGGCTGCTGTTAGAGGCTCCTTTGGTTTAGGGTTTAGGGTGATTGGTCATTCTTCAGGGTTTGGGGTGAGTAGTCATTCTTCAGAAAAAACTATGCTCAAGTACAGGAACAGCCGAGCCGAGAGTCTTTCGAAGCACGACGTTGGCGCGCTTACAAAGTCGCAGGCCGCATGCCTGCCACGGCCCCCCGACAGCCATCTGAGGATCAGCCTTACATGGGAGCTGCTGTGCACTGTACATACGCCTAAATCGTACACTGATTCATCTAAGGGCCCTAAACTAATGCTTAGAAACCTTCGGGACCGTTCCAGAAGCTAAAAGCCATGAACTGTGGGGTCGGCAGAGCATTGAAGCCTTGGTCCCAATAAGCCTTAAAACAAGAAAATATGCCAACAATACCACCACAAAGACCTTCTATCCGGCCGGAATCATGTCGAGCTTTCAGGGTTGATACGCCTTTGCAACCGAAACCAGAGCGTTTGAGGGTTTGTATTAGGGTTCTAGCAATAGAGCGTAGTTAGGGTTCGGTTTTGTCGGTTGTCGGCCTCTGTTGGGCCTATGTAATCATACCCGCGAGCAAAGCCAACAAGATAACGAGCAACAAGATAACACCAACAAAGGAGACTGCAACCCCAAACTCTAACAGGCAACAAGCAGCGCATCAAACTGACTCTGCTACTAACTCCTGCAACAAAACCCTAACCCTTACCTTCCCTTTTGCAAGGCTCCCTAAACCCTATAAACCTTACATTCCCTCAAACCGTTTTTGCAGCAGGCTTCTCTCGCCCGGAACTGCCCAAACCTAACCCTCAACCCTAAACTCCCAATGCCTCGGCAGTAGACCGGACGTATGAGGCCGTGTGCCTAAGGGCTTATAGGGATTTGCAGGGCTGTGAAGGTTGCCTGTTGGAGGAGGGTAGGGGTTCAGTGTTTTAGGATTTAGGGTTTAGGGGTTTAGGCGGTTTAGGGTTGGGGTTTATCTATCTGCGGGGCTTTCTGTGTCTCGTTGTTGAAGGTTTTGGAGCTTAGGCTATTTAAAAAAGTCTGGGTTTGGGGCGATTTAAGGTTTGAGGCTTTGGGTTCACGGCTCCGTATGGAGTTCGATGTCGGTTCTGCTAAGTTTAAGGTTCAACTAAAGGGTCCAATCAGAGGATTTTCAAAGGGCCTCCGGCTTGCGTTGAATTATGTTGAATTGCAAAGAAAAGCATGCGGAAGAAGCAAAGTGCTTTGTTGAAATGGTTTAAACGGAATTTGGTTTGGGTGGATTTGGCCGCCTTATACGCCGCGTGGTGGCGAGAACAAGGGAGAGCCTTCCACTAACCGGCTTTGACAGGTCACCGCCATAGTACGACGCATTCGACAGGACCTTGTCGCACGATACTGTCGCCTAAGCTCTATTCCACTGCAAACCCTAAGCCCTATAAACACTTAAGCCTTAAACCCAAACCAGCCGGATCGCATGTACCGGCCCGTCTCTGCCAGCTTGTAGCCGCCCTCCGGGACTTTGCTTTCCTTCTCCTTGATCGTTTCAAACTAATTCTACTAAGTTGTCAAGATCCACAGGTCGATAGACATCGGTGATGAGAAGTAGGGCTCATGAGGTACAAGCTTGGCTTTTGGAGATATTGGGAACAGGTCTTGGTGCTTGTACTAGGTACCCGTGATGGTACTTTACATGGAATGCCTTGGGCTTCTTAGAGGCTTTGGCATCGCGTGGCTCTCGGGCATGAACAATCGAAGCTTCAAGCAGATTCCTGCCTAAGTGTAGGGTTTCCGGATTTGAGGAGGGGTCCACGGGGCCCCAAAAACCTGTTCTTAAGAGTCCTGGACTTCAGCGCAAGGGCTGGTATCCAAACTCTAAACCTTAAACTGTGGATTGTTCGCTCAGCCCATGGTTGTACATACTCAACAGCTGCTTCCGCAGATGCTTCTCATAATATCAAGAGCTCCTGGGTCTACCAGGAGTATTTCAGTTCGTTGTCACAAGGTATAAGGACCACCAGACCACAACCCCCACCCATGAAATGACAAGAAGACACACAAAGACAACTGGAACCGATCCCGACCAAGTGCTGCTGAAGTTGCATTGGCGCTGCCAGCACGAGGCGGGGCCTCGAAATTTGCTTGGCTTCGTAGCTGCACCAACTTAACATCTACAAATTGACTACCCATTCTTCGCACTTTCCATAGCATCATCGGGTCCTCCTACCCTGTTGCATCCAGGACTCTCGCAACCAGCCGGGAAACTCCACAAGACAGCAAGTCAACCCTCCAGCAGCACTCGTGGCTCCTACCCTCTCTCTCTCTCTCTCTCTCTCTCTCTCTCCCAGGCTACCCTCAACCCTAAAACTCAGTATCGGATCCTGATCTCGAGCCCATGACCCCAAACCCTGAACCCAGCTTCGGACTCATTTCGAGCACCTACCTTTTTAAGCATGTATATTCAATTTGTCACAACAAGGAACCCTAAAACGGGTAGGCCCTCGACCTCGGTGGAGAAGGCGACGGCGCCATGAGCCGTCAGCGACCGCGAGGCTGCGGAGAGGGCGGGTCGCAAGTCGCCCACCTATGATGATGGCTTTTATGCTTACAGGGATCTTGCGGGGTGCCCGGGAATATGTAGGCCTATAGGGTCGGGAGTTTTGGGATTTTGAAGGGGGGGCTTTTAGGATCTCTAGAGTCTAGAGCTCAGGAGGCTTATGGGGTTTCAAAACGGGTTGCTGAGAGAAGAGACATGCAGGGCAAAGATTCAATGGAGCTTTGTGTGGAGTTTTGGCTTGCTGATGGCTTCAGGGCAGCTCGGGTCTCAACTGTTAGGGCTTGTGGGGCTTTTGATTCTAAGTTTTCGAGGCTAACCTACGGACTTGAAGGTCCAGGATGCGGGTTTTATTTTTTTACGGTTCGTGGCCAGGGACTCCAGGCCTTGTTGTTGGGAGCTTATGTTGGGAGCAATTGGGTTTGGGGCCTACCGGGCTTGTGCGTCTTGCAGACTCGGGGTTTCGCCATCCCAAACGCTAGACTTCCGAGGCATACAGGCATACCATACCCCACAGCATGAGCTGTAGCCAGGTCACAGCACGTTACTGCCCCGGAAGGCACGTGCGCCGTTCAAGAAGCCAACTAAGAAAGCTGAGAAGATCATACTCTGGGTAGTAGTTCTTCTGGGGACCTTAGAAAGTATTTATGAATAGGCATCTCTGGAGGAAAAGCAAGGGAAATTCTGAAGTTCCCAAAATGCCACCTGGTACTCGCGTATCTACAGAGCATTCCAAGCTCCAAGGGATTTGAAAGAGCATTGCAATGCTCAGGGCACCGAAATCTTTCGCAACCCAAGGCTCATGTTGGCAGCTGGCTTAACATAGGGAGCTCGTTTTGCAAGCACAAGTTGTGTTCATCCTCAGGAATACTGCATAGGATTGGAATCAATTTCTCGGATGACCCACAACCCTGACAACAAACTCCAGCAGCAACCAGGCTTAACATACTGGGCAAAACGATACTAGGTTGAGGGATCAGGGTTCAAACTCCTGAGCCTGGCCTTGCTACTATTGCTGTTCTCCTGAAAGAGACAACCGTACAATTTCTCACCAAGGCTTGAAGAAGCCCGATATACATTCATCAAAAGTACTTTATAAAGACCCTTCCTTCTTCATGTAGGATAGGGTTCAGGTACTGCGGGCAACAGCCCTGGATGAGTCGGCAAGGCAACGCAACCCCTGAGGAGGCTGCGTATACAAAGACGTCTGCGGCCACGACCAGGTCGAATTTAGTTGCCTTCGTCCAAGTCCACAGAAAGCAGTAGGAGACGCCGCTCGGAATGGAGATCAGCTATGGTGAGAGTGATAACGTTGAAGTTGCTGATGCTGGTGAGTCTTGATTCTTCTGCTCCTGTCTCTGCAGTTAGGACGGCTGCTCGGGCGTGGCATGGTGCTCAAAGCAACTCTTGATCCTCATCCCGCAGATTCTCGACGGGGTCTGTTGTGTGGCGCGGCTGAGTTCAACAGCAACTGTGGGTCCCGACGCTATATATTATAGGGCTCAGCGCCGGCAGACTCAGTCTCACCAGTGCAGCGCTTCAGTGTTACCGACTATACTGAGCCCAGGTTGGCGCTTAGATGCGCTTAGAGCGCTTGAAACATATTCGCAAGCAAGATCCTCTTCGGCCCAATACGGGCAACTACACACTATCCCAAAGACCTAACCCTACCTGTTTAGGAAATTTGAACGAACTTCCAGCAAAGCCTTACAGCCCGTGAGGAAGGTCGAGGGGCCTGGTCGCCTTCTTCGAAGATATCTACCAGGTCGCCACACACGAGCTTGTTGTAGCCGCGATCCTGGTGAGAGCGGGGGACCTCTGCTTCATACATGCAGCTGGTTTCTGATGCAGGAGCATGGTAGTTAATGGAGGGGAATTCTACGTATAGTATATGATACAAACTATTTGGACAAGACCATGTCTTCAGCCAGCGGCCTCATCAGATCGTGGCCAAACATGTTGTTGCAAACTCCGACAATGACAACGAACGTTCCCTTCTGCAAGTTTCGGTTCAAGTAGAGCAGCTTCGGGTGTTTGTTTAGGGGCCTGGAGTTTGGGGTCTCGGGTTGAGGATAGGTCCGATCTATGCAAGGAGGGAGGGTGTTCGATGCATGGATGCTTAGACCATCTTAGACCACGAGCAGCTCAAGGCAACAGGTCACAACATCGTGTCCTTTGAAGTGCAGGTTTAGGCATTAGACAGCTTTTCGAATGGTTGAAGAGTTGAGGGCATGTTTCCGCGCAGGTATTTCTAAACGTTCATATTATTTGCATGAGTTGTAGAATAAAGATTGAAGCATCAAACAAGCACCGTGCAGGCTTGGAAGCCTGTGGAATTTGTACAACGTTCGGGTTACATCATGTCCAGATCCCACATTGACATACCAATCCCAAAATCCGAACAGAAACACAAACAAAAACGCAGCAAGCATCAACCCGATACTCGCGGGCTGCCTTGTCTTTCGCCACCTCCAACATCTTCGCAGAGAGGTCGACGCCCTCACGGCTCACAAGAAGCCATCCCCAACAAGGGTTCGAAGAGTATTTAAGAGCCTTCGCCAAACCTACAGACCGGGTTCCTCTCCAGCTGAGCTTGCCTTCTCCAAACACAGATGTCTGCCTGAGGCATTCTGGTACCTGGAACCTTGAAGCCTTAACCCTAAGCCTTAAATTAAAGCCCAAACTGCTTACCCCTATAGGTCCTAGAGCCTCACAGCCCTGAAACCGCTAAACCCTCAACCGCCGAAGCCATAGACCCCCAAACCCGTCAAAGTGAACCCCTCCCCCAGAAACACCCCCCTAAACTGCCGAACCACTCAACCCTGAACACACAAACCATTCATGGGTATGGTATTCTTTTGGCCTCGAGGTGTTGCACACCCAATCGTCGCAAAGGTGGCCCCATCAACCTTGGCAGCTGAACTCCGAGCCACAGAGGCCGACCATGGGAGGATGAAAGTAGAGTCTCGCATTGTGTAATAGAGTAGAGTATAGTAAAGTATGGTACCATCTAGTGTAGTGTAGTATAGTATGATATAGTACAGTATGGTACAGTATATCACCGGAATAGTACAGTATAGTACAGTATATAATCGTATAGTGCCAGTGCCGTACAGCAATAGAAATAGAATGGAACGGCATCAATAGAATAGAAGAGAAAGGCATACTGCAGAACGTACCCTTTGCCTTTCGTCCATAGCCACCACCACTAGCAACATCATCGATCGCCGCCCTTATTAACAGCTATACCTGTGGTTCATAAGGACCTGGAAGTCCAATGTACAACCGCGAGACCAAATGCCCCAAGTTGGCACGGCAACCCACCTCCTCCTCTTACTACTACTACTACTCCTCCTCCTCCTCCTCCTGCTGCTGCTGCTGCTGCTGCTACTGCTGCCACTGCCACTGCCACTGCCACTGCCACTGCCACTGCCACTGCCACTACCACCACCACCACCACGACTACTACTACTACTACTACTACTACCACTACCACTACCACTACCACTACCACTACCACTACCACGACCACTACCACTACCACGACCACGACCACGACCACCACGACCACCACCACCACCACCACCACCACCACCCACTACTACTACTACTACTACTACTACTACTACCACTATACACAGACACACACACACACACTGGCTCCAAAGTCCAAAGAGGGAAACCACAGAAACGTGTGTTCTTTAAGCCGATTCGCTGCCATAGGGGCCTTGAGCCGGATTGATCCTCATCTCCCCTAATGTAGGGGCCTCAATAATTAGAATAGGGCTTTGGGCTCCTTTGTAGTATTATTATTATAAGGTGCCCTAACAGTAGCATTGGTCATTATTTAGGCTTCTGTATTGGCCCTACCCTGGATTGAATGTTAACGCTTAGCCCAGGCAGCCCAGTTCCGCAGCCCAGATCCGCGCAACGGGTAAACGGCTGGGAGCCGGGGCTTTCAGCCAAGAGGGTCTCCTGTCGGGGGATGCTTAAACACATGTTGAAACAAGTTGTTTCCAACACGTTTAATCGTTTAATTGTGGCTGTTCTTTTCCAGTTTCAGTCTCTCTCTCTCTCTCGCTCTCTGTTTGTCTCCTTCTACTGTTCGTTTAAACATGCTTCCAGGATTGCAGGTTTTACAACTTTGGGCTTTGGCTGTAGAGATCCGAGTTTGGGGGCTGCCAACCCCTAAAGCCACCACGCCCCAAACCGAAAATTGAAACCCTGAACCCTTTGAGCCCGAATCCCCAAACCCTGTTTTGCCTACCCCCGGTTCCTCACAGGCTTTCAGCAAATAATTATGGGGGGGGGCCTTAATAATTAGAATAGGGTTTTGGGGTTCATTATACTATAACTTATGATGAGGAGCCCCCAAAATAGTGTAGGTAATTGTAGGCCCCTATAGTATTCCTTTCGTGGTTGCCAAGTTGCCTTGTTCCGTACTGAAGCAACCCTCACCATAGGGTACGGCTACTCATAGATTTCAGGAGCAACGTGTCGCGAGGACATATCAGCTAAAAACGAACCCCAAATTGGGGGTTTAGGGTTTGGAGGCTTTGGGTTTCGTAGCATTGGCGCTTAGGGTTTTGGGGGCTTTAGGATGGGCCTGAAGAGTATAAGGAGTACGAGCACTGAGGCTTCGAATTTAGAGGCTGAGGTTTTGGAATATCGGCTCTCAGATTGTGTTTGTTGGCTCCAAACTCAGTTCGTGTGGGGTCTTATCTCGCACCAAGCAGTCAGTGTTAGGCACTGGTCAGATCTGGAACAGCGCAGGAAGACTAGCATATAGTGTTGCCTGCACGTCTTACACTGCGCAACCATCACCTGCAACACTCGCACTACAGGCTTTACTGCCCTTGTGTGCAATGCTATCGGCATGAAGGTTTAGACAAATTCTTGCACTTGCTCAGAATTGCCGGTAGACTATCGTATAATCATGAGCTGTGTATTTCTTGCATGGTACATGTAGTTAAAATCCTTTCCAGCTGCTGATGCCTCAGTGCTCCTACCTTTACCGGCACTGATGTTCTGCGTTCTGTGTGTTTGGTGCGACTCCGCTGTGCTGCTCCGTGAGATCCTTGAGGTGCGCCAGCTCTTCTGCTAAGAGCTCGGGCGTGCGATACTCGAGGGCACCGACCTAGACGCTAAATTCAACAGGCGAGGTTCGCAGCTCGGGTTCATAGTTTAGGGCTGGGGTTCCGGGTAGCAGGGCCCGGAACTCAAATCCAAAGTTACATCTATTGGAACACCTGGATACTGCTTGCCAGACTTTACACGCCGAGTAGTAGGAAAATTCGGGAAGTCAGCATGCAAGAAAGAACCTCTGGGAGGAAAGGGACAGTACAGCTGGGAACTCATGGCCGCAACGAGACGGATCTCTCCGTACTTCGGCGGCATTTCGACTCGCAGAGTAGTAGGAAGCCGAACTCAACAGTCTGGCGCGTACCGCCTGGTCGCGCAAGCGGCAGTCTCCCAACCCGAAACCGCGGCAGCAACCCTAAAGCCGCAACCTATAAACCTAAACACTTGAGGGTTTCAGAAAATGGAAGATAGAGGAGCTACCTCAAATTCTTTTCTGAAGCTCCTACTTGGGGCCGGAAAGAGCCGAGCCACCAAGTGTTCATCAAATCGCTCGGCGTAGCCATCGAAGAGGCCAGCCACATACTCGGCAGGAGCCGTTGCTGTAGTCTCCTGGTTTCGGGTTTAGGGTGTAGGGTCTGGGGCCGGAATTAACGGCGAAAACTATTCCCATGCATTCGGCATCCCATCTGCAAACCCTATTAAACCTCATGGCGCGGATGACCCAAAGCACGTCTACTGGTCTTTTGATATCGGTGCAAGGGATAAGGCTCCAGTCTAGGGGTTAGGGCTCGTGGCTTTGGGTTTAGACTGGGCCGTCTAATTACGAAGTTTCCATGATCAACGACCCCCTTCATGGCCGCCCCCGAAGAGCCCACAGGAACCTCTGAACCTTCAGCCCTCAAGCTCCGAAATAGTGCCTGCCTTGCTTCGGGGCGCAGGCAGCAAACATCGCGCACTCGAAACCCTAAGCCGTAAACCCTTATCCGTCATGACCTCGATCCTTAACCCCTGCACCAAAAGCCTAACACTGGCAGGTGGCCCCTCGGAGCACCGCGAGCCAATGGCTGGCACCAGCACGTCGGCGTAAGCTGCCGGCCTCGGATTTCGGAATGTTTGAGTACGCGACAAAGGTTCAAAATGGTTCACATTCCGAGAGATGGTGGGCTGGGTTGGGCATCATATCGGATCAGATGATACGGGTGGGTTTGGAGTCCAGGATGTAGGGTTCAGGACTGTCGGCCTATATGGCCCCGAATTCTCCAGCTATAGTATTTCAATTTATTTCGAACACAATATAGACGAGGGCTGGGAGGCTAGGAAGGTGTAAAGCTTGATCGAGTTCAGCTAGGTCGGCTGGTTGGAATTCAATCGCTCGGGCTGGGATCTTCACTTTGGGGGGGTGCTGCTTGTATGCCTGTCGTGACAGGCGCTTACAGCTCGAGCCTAAACGCGCCGCTTAAGAACCTTTTCAATGTAGAGCTGCCATCCGCTCGGTAGGGCTTCCAAGCTAAGTTGGACCCGAACGCTTGAACGCGAAACCCCTACAGAAACCCGGGACAGCTCTGGCTCAAAATGTAAAGGCAGGGTAGTGAGAGTGTCGGTGTAGAACCGCTGAAAGACACAATCCTGCATTGCGTGCAATACGATTTAGACCGTTCTTTCCGTTTTGCAGGATACTCACACGATGGATTTTGCCTATCACAAGTTCAAAGGGCTTGTAGGATTTCGGGTTGAAGCGCTTAGTTGCCAGCAGGGATGCAACAAAGTTCCAGAACACATCCTGCCATACAAGTATCTTCTGTTGTCAGTGACGGACAGTGTGGGCGTCGGGTCTCGCATGTACTCTTATAGGGAATTTTGCTCCCTCTACAGCTCAGGAGGTGTTCTGGCATTCGGCAGTCGGAACTGGAAATTTAGGAGCCTGACTCGGATTGCAGAAGTTCGAAAGACTTTGGGAATCACTCTTGAATGAACCCTCTAACATCAAGCCCTAAACACTTGATTCCCCACGTCATATGTGGAATCAGTGGAACCTAACGGTTTAGGGTTTAGGGCTCTTCAACCAAGTCTCGCTCTTATCGCCCTCTGTTGCCTCCATGAAGTCTGCCAGCAAGGTGAGGGCCTCGATTTGGATTACTGGGTTCGGCTGCAGGGTCAGTGCTTGATGGTTGAGGGTTTCAGTCAGTGTGAGGCTTAAACTTAGGGCTAAGGCTGAGTTTTTCCTGGAAATGAGCATCTTCACTTGTTGAAGTTGCAGAGCGAAGGTGAGATCTGAGCAGGCAGTTACCACGCACCCTTGTAAACAGCTTACAACATGAATCCTCAGCCGCGGCGACCCTTAAAGCAACCCTCACGGCAATCCTCAAAGGGTAGCAGCCCTGCCAGTATCCTTTTTTTGCCAGCACGGGGAGGGTAGAGGCTTTCTTCAGTCTTCGTTCCTCTGCATGGACACACCCTCATCACTGTAAGACACCCCGCAGAGGGAGTTCGGGGGCTACTGCTCTCGAGTGTTTCGGTTTGCTTCCAACAAGGGTTCTGTCTCGGGCATGTGCTCTGTCTCATTCAGGAAGTCATGTAGAGTCTTGTTTCTACGGGGCCTCCAAAGGTGAGAACAAACAACTCCCAGACTGAGGCTACCCCGTGAAGACCGTGAGCCGCCGATGCACAACAAAAGATCTATTAACCACCAGTATGAAGCGAAAAAGACGCAGTGTCGTTGTTGAGGTATCCGTCTTGAACAGTCAGTCCGACAAACTGCGCAGTGGGACTCGGACGTACGACTCTATGATGGCAACGGCCGCAAGGACCAGCCCATAACCTGAACTTGTATGACCCTGAACCTGGCAGCCTACATCGTATCCCTTAGCACAAATCCCAAACCCCATCGTGAGTTCTTCCTGAGCCCCTTTAATCCGAATCTCAAGCATATTGTAATATATATATATAGATGGATAGATGGATAGTATAAGCTAGCTTGTAGGCTACAGCATGCCGTAGTATGTATGTATATATATATATATGCTATACTGCAGCATAGTCTACTACTAACTAGTTGCAGATGTTGCCTCCTCGTTCTCTCCCTTCTCCCGGCAAGCCATCCCCAACCGGTACCTTGGCCCGGCAGGATCTGGAAAGCAAGCAAATCCCTCTCATGGGCTACCATGAAGCAATATAGGGGCCTTAACAAGTAGAATGGGTGTATTGGTGTATATTATACTATTACTATAATAAGGAACCCCCCACCCCCCAAAAGTAGTATTAGAAATTCGCAAGGCCCCTATATTACCCGGTGGTACTACTGCCGACTCTCCAGGCCCCCCTAAAGTGGGTAAGGGGAACCGAGAAAAGTCTTAGCAGCAAGATTCAAGTTGATTCTATCCTAGCTTCTCCCCTCCTGCTCCTCCTGCCCGGTTAGTTTCAATGATTCTGTGGTTTCTGGAGAAAAGGATGTCGGGCTTAAGGCTTCGATGGAGTTTCAGGTGCCCAAATACCAATCCCCTAAACCTACTAAATAAACCCAACAGGTGGTGTTTGTACACCTTGCCTCTATCTGCCTGTATATGCATCATGTTTAAATGTCCTTGTTTGTCTTAGGCATGAAAGCCCTCCAGGGACCTAAACGCCTAGGGTCTGAGGCTGCAAAATAGGCTTTTTCATAGTATACTATAGCACTGTATGTTAGATTTTTATATATTCAAGTATAAATGATAAACCCTATAATTCTCTAAACCGAGATGCAAGCAGCCCGCATGCCTGGGCCGAAGACCTTGCGCAGCCCGCAGGGCTGCGATCCGCTCCTCGCAGGTGTGCTGAGTTCCGTTGTTTTTGGGGTTTTGGGGTTTAGGGTTAGGCTCCTGTTTTCCGCATGGTTGAGGTTTACGCTCTCACAACTCGGGCAAGTGGAGGGTGGAGTTTGGGACTAGAGGGTTTGAGAGCTGAACATATGGTGAACGCTACTTGGAGATAATGTAGGTGCCTCAATAAATAGAAGAGGTTTTTGGGGTATGCTTATACTACAATCATAATAAGGAACCCGCAAAACAGTATAGGTACTTCCCTGGAACATCCTCTTGTGCTTCGATTTCAGCCAATCCGAGATATTTGAGTAAAGGGAATTGGGGATTTCCTATGACTTGTGGAAAGCCCATAACTCTGAGTGTCGTGCAGCATGGGAGTTTTGGGTCGTTTTTATTGGCGGCTTTAGGGCGCAGAGAAACCCTCGAAGGCATGATGCCCCTGAAGCTGAGATCCGAGAGCTCATAGTATACTACAGTTTACCAACTCTATATTATAGTTTATATAGTTTACTTAGTATAGTATATTATATTATAGTACATAAGAATATACTAGAGTATACATGACCTAGATTGTGCCCGCAGAGCAAAGTGCAACCCAATATAACCTACTGCTGCTCCTATAAGCCTTTAAAGGCCACCCCCAACCCTAACGCCGACAGTCAGAGAAAGCGCAAGCCTCGAGCCCTAGAGCCGAAACCCCTCGCCTCCGTGAGAGCACGCAACTCATCCGTGAAGCCCTGTCGCTCTCTGTCCTCGTGTCCAGGGAGGAAGCAGGGGCCAGGATTTAGTTGATTTGGGGCTTTAGGGTTTATGGCTTTGGGGCTTAGGCTAGGATTTAATCGGGTTCTATATGGAAAAGCAGCCTTCGTTTTTTTGGGCTGGATCCAAGTTTGTTCGTATCAACGAGCTCCTGCATTCAGGGGTTCTTGGGCTTCGCAAGATTTCGGGCTTCAGAGCTTAAGTTCTACAAGTTTGGGATTTAGAGAAAGTTAGGCGGAAGGTTTAAGGAGTTCCGGATTGAGGGCGAAGGGCTTTGGGATTCGGGGCTGGGGGTGCAGGGTTCAAGATTTGAGGGCTTTGGGTCAAGGGCGTTGGGTTTAGGAGGGATTTATGTTGTATTTTTTTCGGCTTGTAGGTTTCGGGGCCAAAAAGTTTGCGCGGCGCACGTTTCGGCTTTAGTTGATGATTCTATCTTCTCGGCGAAGATCCCCAGAAAGGGCTGAGGGTTAAGACCTATGGAGAGACACGTAAATTGTAGACGCCTGGACTTAGGATCCACGAGGGGGTTGCTTGTCAAGGGGTCTAGATTTGACGAAAGTTGAAGTAAACATTTTTATAGCCCCAACTCTCTTCCTACTTCCCGGTTTCGATGAATTGGTGGCGATGACTCCGAACCTTTAAAGCATCATCTTCTTAGGCAGGTGGACATCTGGTGCATGAAGTTGGCATACACTTGTGCATTCCTGGGTGTTTGACTGGTCTGAACCCTAAACCCTAAACCCTTAATTTGCGCATGTGTTTTTGGGGGTGAACAGGGCATGGCTTCAGAGAGGCAAACAGCCTTGCCCCAAGTCCGACTTGCACATCTGTAGTGGCATAACGACGACTACAGCCAGGCTACAGCCTTACAATAACTAGAAAGGGGTTTTGGGGTATACCATACTATAACTTTAATAAGGGACCCCCAAAATAGTATTGGTACTTGGTAATTGTTTAGGCCCCCTATATTGTCGACTTAGAAGATGAAGGAGTCCTATTGCAATCCGTGACAACAGCTTACAACTTACTCCGCTTGATGTCATAGTGCTCATATGCCTACTGCGTCCCGTGATCCTACATGCAGGATTTCGGGGCCACTCCTGAATCCACTAGCTTTCTTCGAGCCCTGAACCTTCCCCTCTCGTTCGGCAAAGCAACGAGGCTGAAAAGCGCCAATGCCCGGCTGAGGTTATACCACCTGGTCAACCGGGAGCTACAGCAGTTCATGACTTCGGGTTTCGCGGCGCCGGCTTGCCTTTTTGAAGGATTGCACGCTCAAAGTTTTTTTCAGACGTGCAGGCTTAAGTTAAGGCTTCAGGGATTGTTACGGGATGGTTAGCTGTCATTTGGGAAAGGTGTTGGCTCAGGGTTGGGATGCTGAACAGGCTCGCAGATCTTTCCTTGTTTATGGAGTTCGTGAAAGCACGCCATATATGAACAATCAAGTCAGAAAGTCAGCTTTTTCGGGTCAACGGCATACGCTACGCCAATCCTTAACCCTGTAAATAGTCTTTAAATCACAGCAGGGGGCCCGTAATCTCTGCATACAGTTACAGTGCGATGTCCGCCAAAGATCCCCTTCCGATTGTTGAGATCCGGATACCACTTGAAGGATTTGGGGCATACATATACCAAGAGCTCCACACTTTTCATAACTGGATTCTAAATGAAGCGCAGCTGTGCGACGCGGACCAGCGCTGGGAGTCCAGACGGCATGCCTGCAACTGTCGCAACGGTTTAAGATGGGGTGCCAAGCAGTAGGACAACTGGAGTGGAACTGCTGATGACAACTTGTATCCTATACCAGTATATACACGAAGCCTTCAACCAGGCTCGAGAACCAGTATTGACCCCTTAAGCACGTGAAGGGTCTCAAGGCGCACCTCTCGAAGGACGGCCACTGCCTCTTCCAAGGATGAGCCTTTGGCTCGCGCCATGCGCTGCTCCTGCTCTTTCAGGGTTTTTTCCCTCCCACTTAGCTTGGACGAGCCCGCATTGCAGGGTGAGTTCGGATATGTCTTTTAGGGTTTAGGGTTTGGATTAGGGTGATCAAGGGCCCGGCAAATTAGAACAAGTGTATTTCTGTGGGGTGTGGGCTTACTTAGGGGCCTTGTAACAAGAGGGTTTGAGGGTACGCCGCACCATAGTTTTCATTGCCACTTGTTCAAAGCTGCATGCCACGTGCTTACTAGGCTTTGCGCTGGGGGTTCACCACTGCGGAGTTTGGGGTTTAGTGGTTTAGGGTGCGGTGATGTGTGGGGTCCATGGCCTGTAGCTTAGGGTCTAGGTTTAGGCTTGCGGGCTAGAACTGGGAGTTTTAGGGTTGAGGGTTGTGAGATTTTGCGGACTGGCATCGCTGCGGTTGCCCTTGGTATTTGATACTGGTGCTACTGTTGATGATATAAATCCTGCATGACCTTAAGGACCCTAAACTATGGGAATTTTGGTATATTCCTTATTCTGGGTAATGCAGGATTTACACCATCAACCGTATGACTATGCCACCCAGGCTCACGCCACACAGCACAGGCATCCCCATCTGAACTGTTTGGTTGCACACGCCGACAAATGACGGATGCTTTCAACATTCGTGGTCCCTGTGTGGCCTCCCGGAGAACCTCTGAACCCTAAACCCTAAAGCCCTGAACCCCCAAGACCCGAGAAGCCTTTAAACCCTCAAAGTGCCATCAGCTCATCAGCTCCTCTTGACTCTTTGGCGCGTGGAGCAGTGCAGTTCCCAGAGACGAGGCCACGCGCGCCCGAGCTGCATCCGAGGCCCCGGAGGGCAGCGATGCTCGAGCACATCGCCTTGGATATCGATTCTAGGTTAAGGCATCTATGCCATATGGTGGAACTATATCCATGAAACCAGCCTGGACTACAACTGCCCATTGCTGCTTAAGGTGTTACTCACATGCAAGATATGTTAAAATCACGTGACACCCCACAAAACTAATGTAGGGGCCCAAATAACTACAAATACTATTCTGGGTGTTTCGTATCAACCCCAAAACCTTTTCTTGTTATTATTAGTATTATTTAATATTACTATAAATATTAATAAGGCCCCTGTAGTAAGTCCTACAGAAGCGCTTCAAAGCAGCAGCAGGGCGATGGCCTCGGCCAGCGAAGCAGCTGCTGCACCCTGCAAAGAAGGCTTCTCGTCGTCCTCCTCACGGGATTTAGGATTTCGACTCACACACTCGCTCACGCAGGTATGGCAGGTTACGTCCAAGCTTTAGGATTTAGGGTGTGAAGTTTTTATGTGGTCTCAGCACAGCTTTAGGGCCTAAAGTTTCAACAGGGTTTACGTTTTGGGGTTGAGTGGTTCTGCCCACAGAGCCCTGTGATATAAAGAAACGGATCCTCGATAATTTAAACGATTGCCCTTGAGAGGGCATATTGGGCTCTCTGGGTCATGGGCTAAAAGCGTCTGAAGGGTAGGAAGCCATATCTATTCAGCCATAGATCAGGCCCCCTCATGTTGGCAGCCGCAACCCTACGAACAAGACATGGTTTTGATAGCAAGTTTCTGTTGCCCATATGGGCTGTACAGGACCAAGCTTCCTGAACTAAAGTGACAAATACCTCGTAGATGGCAATCAGGGCGACAAGGCTATGGTGCTTACAGTGTGACGGATTGGTGGGTGGTGTCTCTGACCGCACATTTTAGGCTTTCAGCATCTAGGATCGAGGCTTGGCCTAGCTTTTGAGAGAGGCCTAGCTTTTGAAAGACCATGTGGCTTAGGGCTCAGGGTGTGCGGTGAGAGCACGGGATCCACGACCGGTCCTCCTCTTTGGCACTCCCCACCAGCTTCTGAACCCTGCAAGCGAGAATCGGATTCGAGAAACAGGTTCTGTAGGCTCAGGATCACCCTAAGGGGCCCAACTACCCAAACAGTACATACTTTGGCCCCAGAGTACCTTTATAGGGACTACTTGAAGGCCAAAGTATATACTAACTGGGCACATGGACCCTTAGGTTTCGGGTTAGGGCTAGCTGGATCCTGAACAAACTAATCATCCTGTTAAGGGGGTTCCTGTTCATGCTTCCTTCATAAAAAAATACTTAGAACCCATGTTTTCTGGAGATTCAGGCAGAGCTCTGGACAATTTCTTTTGGTGTCGGGACAAGGGCCTTCACGGTTCGAAGCTCTGGTGGTTCTGAAGGTTCAGAATGATCATTAGAAGACGGCTTTGGTGTATATATATATATACACAGAAAATAAATAAATATATATATATATATATGATGTATGCATACCCGGGGCAACTGACAGCAATCTAGCACAGCGGCTTCTTGTTCCAACCTAACTCCACCCGGTGCAAGTGCCAAGTCTCACGGCCTCAGGGCACCCAAAAGGTGGAAAATCTCCGCGACGTCGGTATCCTGTCAACAAGACCAAACCGGAATTTTTGTTTACCTAAACCCCTGACCCCAAAACCCTAAACACCTAAGCCCTTACCCACTACGCCTCTACCATATCCCCAAAAAACTACCCTTAAACCCCTCTATAACCCCACGCCAACCCCTAAACCTTATGCCGAAACCTGGAGAGAATATTATGGATAAATGTCGAGGCTGTACGGTAGGTTTGGGGCTTGCAAGCACTGCGTTGCGTGGCTTTGGGTTTCAAGCTTAGGGCCCAAAGCCTGCAAAAATGGCAGGTTGTGGCCCCTAATCCTATGGAGTATATAGTATAGCCCTTAAGCCGTGCTTTCCTACATATTAGCCACAGTGAGCCCTTGCTAAAGAGAGCCGGCCACAGCCAGAAGCCAGATCTCCTTGTCTTTGGGGGCATCAAAGCTTGAGACTCCCAGGGAGTCCAGCGCTTGCTGGTAGAGCTCCTGTGCTGCCGGTCGCCGGGCTTTTAGGGTTTAGGGTTTAGGGTTGATGGTCCCAGGCATTGGGGGCAGTAGGGTTGGGGTCTTGAGGGAGATCGCAAGGCCAAACCTACAACGAAAGCTAACGGCTAACGCAAGAACAAGAAAAATGAAGAAGCCTGTGAAACTGCACCGAAGACTGCCAAACAGTGGCTAGACCATCAATCGAAACAGCGCCAACAACTCTGCTTGGCATTGCAGTGCATCGTGAAGACCCACCAACGTGAGCAAATCGTGGTTTAGGGCTTACTGTGTGTGTGTGTTGCTTGGTGTGTGCCTGCGTGCATGTCTACGTATGCATGCATACACATACGCACCGACAAACAAAAGTGCGCGCGCACGAAAACCCGCGAAACCTGGAGCCGATACCTCTCAAATTTGCTGGTGCTTGCATTAAGTCTTTAAGTCGATGTGAACCTAGTTGAACCGAGGGCAGTGCATAGGTCTGTATCTGTCTGTATATACCAACGGTACCCTCGATTTCGGAGTCCAGATGCTGCACATGCATGTGCAGCATGTGTGTTGGTGCCTGGCATTGTGTGTGTACTCTTTGCAACACGCACACCGACATTCTCATGCCCTGAAGTTGTAGAATGGACATGCTGAGTAGCTTCAAAGCTCAACAGCAAGATACCCAGTCCACATGCCACATACATCCACATAGGTACTGACATATTGTACACCCACCGACAGAGAGAGAGTGAGAGAAAGAGACCTTCGCTACCTACAGGCCTCCTTCACTGTGTCCGGCGGAAGGTCCGGACACATCACATGCAAGGGAACTCCTTATGCACCATGACCCCAAATCGCTGCACCGAAACCCTCGACCACAACAACTAAAGTAAAGTAAACCCTAAACGGCCCTAAACTTTCTAACCTAAACCCTAAGCCCTAAAATTTCTAAAGTGAACCTTGAACCCTAAGCTTTCTAATCTAAACCCTAAACCCTAACCTTTCAACCTTACATCCTAAACCGTAAACTTTCTAACCTCAAACCCTATAAATCTTAAAGTGTCTAGCCTTAGATTCTAGACTAAACCCTAAACCCTAAAACCAAAGCATCGGATGCCGGGCCTCCGCCGATCGAAGGTCTCCAATCTTGTGGGCCTCCGGAAGTTGCGGGTTCAACGCTTCGCCGCTGAAGAGGGTTTAGGGCTTCAGGTTTTAGGGTTTAGGGCTTCGTTGTTTAGGGTTAAGAGGGCTGTGGGGGTGTAGGGAAGGAGTTGAGTAGCTTAGGTTTTTGCTTGGACACCTCTTTTCCTTCCGCCTTGCTCGGGGGTAGAATGCTGCTGTTAGTTTAGGGTTTAGGGTTTGGGGGCGGTCCACAGAGTTGAGACATGAAATGTGCAGGTGTCCTCACGATAGGACCGAATGACCTGTGAACGTGATGGACTATGGCCTCACACCCAAGGGCCGGTGACTGGTGAATGGCTAGCAACTGGTAGCAGGCATGATTATACGTCTACGGAGTGTATGGCATCTCTTGTAGTCCGATATTATGTCTTAGTTTGGGCACCCCAGCCTTCTCTGGAATCTTGCTGCCAGGATATATGGCACTTCATGTCACTTGGTCCAACTTTCGGTGTTTTTGATGCAGTTCGCAGTTTCGGAGGCAAGAACATGGGTGGGAAATCTTGCAGGACGAACCAGCACATGATGATATCATCAAACGTGTGGACACCATGTCACACAACTCCAAACAAGCATCAACGCACGGCTACACCAAACCCTAAACCCCAAGTCATAGGAGCTGCCTCCTTAAATGCCGAAACGCCGAAACACCTGACAAACAAACCCCTAAAGCCACGAAACCCTGAACCCCTATGGTTTTATTGTCTTTAAAGAGGTTTAAGGTTCCCCAACCCTGTAGTGAAGAGACGCCCAGTCTCCCTTTCGGACCTTCTCTACGGTCTTGGACGCCAGATCAAACAAGGGAGGCTCGGGGTTTCTAGCTAGAACTGCCGGCTCTTCGGGTACAAGATAACGGTATTAGGCTTTGGGCTTTTGGGGCGTTTTGGGGTACAGAGCAGAAGCTTTGAACTGTAGGGCTTTAGGGTATTTT